TATTTATTTGTTTGTTTGTTTTGTTTATTGTTATTATTTATTTGTTTGTTTGTTTTGTTTATTGTTATTATTTATTTGTTTGTTTGTTTTGTTTATTGTTATTATTTATTTGTTTTGTTGTTGGTCTTTATTTGTCTGTTTGTTTTGTTTTAAGGGTATAGGAGTCAGCAGCTCATTATTAACAGTAACAAAAAATCCAGTAAGTTAAAATCAACCAAACTAAGTAACAGTAAGTCTATCAACTGTATACATAAACATACAGACCTAACTTTCAATTGACTCCGTAAAAATGTTATATGATGACTGTTTTAATTTTCTAATCACATCTGTTCTTTAACCTTTCAGGAGCATACACTCATACAGACTTAATATTTGGTAGAATAGGTTCATTCTATAACCTTTACGGAATTAACTCTTGGTTAACTTTGTAAATAAATATTCACTGATATAGCTGTTGGGTGACTTTGATAAATTTAGTAATCTATTTATACCTAATTTACAGTGATACAACACACGAATTTAGTAACCCAAATATACCTAATTGTTGGTTAACTATGTAAGGTAATTATTTTAACAATTGGTTGACACTATTAACCGACGAAAACATAACTGATGCTTGACTGTTTACATACATTTAACAATCTCGATTTACCCATTCATTGAAATGCAACATATGCTCACCAATTTACATAAGTTTGTTTTACACCTGGTGAAGTTGTTAATCTGTATATTCTTAACCATTAGTTTGATCTCGATAATTCACTGATCTACAAAGACTTGCTATATTGTTAACCCCATAAGTCTATTAGTTTGTGTGAAAAACTCGTTTGTTGGTAAATTTATTAATTTATGTTCACAGTTGTTATTTAGTAGACCTAATAAATCAGCTAATCCATGTATATTGACTATATATTGGTCTGATATATCTACTAAACATTCTAGAACAACAGGTTTGTAACTATGGAAATAAACATTAATACTAACAATGCCAGGTTCAAATACACTGACGTACATCTATATTTCCAGCTTGAATTCTAAAATTTAAAAGAGAGGGTATCTAAAAGTGAGCAGCAGGAAATAAGCAATCTGCTGAAACAAAGATCTGATTTTAATGTTGGCCAAGCCTAATATGAATAAAAGATAAAGCTGCCCAAAAGCCTCAAAAGACATGAGATAGATGGCAAAGGGGACATATAAAGATCTGAGCTGTTCAAATCATTCTCCAGAATTATCCAACAGCTTAGGAACTAAGCAAGCCAAACCATCGCATCTCATAAGTACTATTGAAGAAATAAGACACACGGGAAAAAAAAGGAGATGCTGATTTCAGAGGATGGTGGGACGGCGTGTGTGTGCATCACTTGCCATCCAAGTCAACTGAATACAAGCAATCAGAGTTCAGGAAGTAGACAGTAAGACAGAAACAAGGGTAAAAACTGACTTAATTATTACGAATAACAAAAATGACTGTTTAGATAGGTGTATATATTAGCCCATATAATAACTTTCAAGGGACATCGATTTTGGTCTTAAAGGGTTGTGGCGTGGATTTTTTAAGCAAATCGTGATCCAAGTAAACATAAACCTTACAAACACGATAAGTCAGCCATCTAGTTAATGTTCCAGGAGTAACAACATTTCGACTGTTAACAGACTAAGCTTTGAAGAATTGTCTGTAACAGCACTTAAGATATTTCAGGCGTATCAAATATCAAGAAACTGTTAGGTCATCATAAAGTGACATCCAAAAAGGTACAGGAGCATGCTTAGTGCGAGAACTAAGCTAAAGTCAAGAAAAATTTGGAGTCTAATAAAGGTAAGTCAACTTATTTCATCCAACTCACTGATTAACCTAATAGATTCATAATCTATATAACATAACTGATTGATTAGCCTAGTATATATACTAAGTTGTTTAAGATGACAAATCAAATAAGTTATATAAATCAGGAATATCTTCTAACTGGTTAGCCTAATAAATAATCTATTCTATATTAATTCACTGAATACCTGGTAAATTTATTTAACAATGTAAATTTAGCTACTGTTGAGAATACTAATTTACAGAAACTTAATTGTTGTTAAATTTACTAATTCATACAATCCTAGGCGTTGGTTGACTTGTTGAACATATAAATTTTGGTCATTCTAATATTAGCATCCGTCCGATTTTATTACAGATATTTTATTAATATACCGATTCAACTGCAGACTCCTATACATGTATGAGCACATAAGTGTAACTACTCTAAAATTAGGTGATGGTTGCCACATATCAATCACAGATACAGGAAGGCTCCAAATATATAAATCCTTTAAAGCTGGACAGCTCCTCCATATCTCGGTTGACGTCATTCAGAAGGCAAGTGGAATCCTTGGTGGAAAAATCGGCAGATTTACAGCCGGGGGTGTTAAGACATATTTCTATGCAAGCATCTGTAGAGCCATCGAACTGTACATAGCTGGGAAAGGGGATATTGTGCTCTGCAATAGCTACTCCACGTTGAGACCAGTAATTTACTGTAAGATAAAAAAAAACACTTATACACGTTCATTTTAACACAATATGTTCCTGAAATTCGATCAATAAAACATAATGGATTAAACTTACTAGTGTATGTTGTTTACAGTGGTTAATTATCTAAGTAATTAATTAAAACTTTTGGAGGTTTAAAATTACTAAAAAATCTCAATTCTTCTTTTTTAGATGTTAGCATGACAGAAGTTGTCAAAAACAGACCAGAAAACTAACTATAACTTTTTCTCCCAAAATAATACGAAATAACCTGACTAAACAATAAGAAATAACTTAGGGAAATTATACTAAAAAACCGAAACCAAACCAGCAGTTATCAAAAAACCTCTAGCGCAGCCAATTCAATGTTTCCTGGACTTATTTGAAAGGCAGAAACACTGCCGTGAATTCCTTACTGAAGGCGGTATCGCAACATTTGTTGCAATGAATAAAAAAGTCTCTCGCAAAATGATAGAAATGATAAAGCAAACAAACCTCCTTGAAATTTAAACGACCCAGTACCTCTTAGCTGCTCTGAGAAGGTAAATTAAAATATTTTTCAAAGTTACAGAGCCCGGACAAGTGAATAATACACCTAACTTTCTAACAAGAAGATCCAGAATCGAATCTTGGTTCCTTCTACTACATATGTTCCTCGAAGAAAGCATCAAATTATCGGCTGAAACGTAGGATATAAGCTAATTAGTGTCTAGTAATATAAATGAGTAACTAATTAGAATTAGACTTAGTACATCGAATAAACTACTAATTATGACATTAACTATACAATCACAATGGTTATTTTAAAATTGATTTGGGACATTTATCATCCTCATGGTCATTCCCGTATGAATTACAGGTTTCTGCATCATAAACGAAACTTTAAACTTAGAGCATAAAACATATTATAGCCCCAATTATCTAGTTAATTACTAGTAGCAATTACAGCCAATCAGAACATTATTCCAATTAAGAAACTCATCCCGCACTTATATATTCAATTTTATGACAGATATAATCCTATAATTCTTACGGGTTCATATGTTACAAATGTATGAATTATTTAAGTCCAAAAGAAGTTTTAGACCCACCCGGTAATCTTCTAAATAACTTTGTGTATACCATATTGTTTATTTTCGAATTTCGCACAAAACCATGCGAGGATTGTCCTCGCCAACCGTCCCTAATGTAGTAATAGATCAGAGGGAAAACAGCTAATCAACACCTCTCACCGCCAACTCTTGGGCTACCCCTTTTACCAACGTATATGGGATTAATCGTCACACTACAGCGCCCTCACGGCTGAAAAAGCGAGCACGACCCGCAGATTGCGAGCCATGCCAGGCCTCTCTTTCTTTGTGAGGCTCTATTCTAGACGCAGCCATGTTATTGAAAATAGGTTGATCTGAAAATATCATAGCCAACTCACAAACAACTTAGATCTAACAACTAATATCCTCTCCCCAAATAAAACAAAACCTGCTATAATCTAACAGTAAAAGGAATACAAAGAATTAAAGTAAAAATGATAATAATTAGACTTCTAAACATGGAAATACCAGACACAATTTAACCATCACGAGTTTCATGGCTACGAAAAAAATATTAAATCGACCCACCAGAAAGCTTATATGAGAATGAACCATCGTTCATAGCTATTTATCCTGAACTTTGATATTTAGTGTGTACTGCAACACAAGTTTTTATTTTTATTTTTAGAATTAAGAGCAGAAGGCTGCCAGTGAAAAAAAATAATAATTCTTGTTTACGTGCCTTCCGTGCATGAGGTTATATCGATTATCCCGGACCAGGAAGTGACTCCGTAGTTAGCGTGTCTTAACTGTGAATCCGAAGATTCATGATTCGCGTTTCCGTTGTATAAAAATGGGTTCCACACTTTGGAACCGTGTGTGCGCTATAAGAATGACCGTCAAATCTCACAATTCGTTCAGACGAGAGTAGCCCAAGAGTCAGCGGTAAGTGATGTTGCTAACTGCTTTTCCTCTAGTCTAGCAGTTCAAAATTAGGGACAGCTATATGCAAATAACCCTTGTGTAGTCTTACCAGAAAACTCTAAAACACAAAATGTCACTAAATTTGCAAGAACAATCGAGATTCAACAATGTAATTAATAACAATGCCAACCGAATCAGAAGATGTTTAAGGTGAATATGACGCTGTTCTCCATTTTAAATGTTTTAGAATCCTGACTGAAGTAAATAAATTTGCAATATCCGTATGAAAGAACGTAACGAAATCATAATTTATACAGATCAGTTCTCGTTAGAATACGCTTTAAACAAGACTCAGTGGTAAAACATTAAAATTTAGGTTAAAGAAAATATCTTTAACAAATTTCTTCGGTATACCAGACAGAGTCATGTTGTCTGAAACGCAACAATCAGTGTTTTGTATTCTGGAGTCTATTAAAATATTAAATAAATCAAAATATTCAGTAGTCTGAATCATTTTTTCTTTTCAATTCTCAATGTGTTATTATAATATTTTTATATCAACTGCTAGAAAAGCTGGAAAGACTATCCAGTATCAAAATAATCTACTAGAAAAAAAAACAGGAAAATTAAATGATATTGTTCAACAATCCAATAACTCGTAAGGTGTCAATTTAAATGTTGACTGGCTATGTCGTTGTGTGGAGCAGAAGAGTACCATATGTTTTCTGCTTCCTTAGTTAATATGTAAATCTTTCAAAATTTCTGTATTTTCTTTCAGTTCAGTTTGCACACAAAATTAACTTAAGTAAACTCATATAAATTTTCTAGATCTGCCTGGAACCTGAATTCATTAATTGACAAATAACTGTATTTTTTTTTTGTTTGTCTGTTTTGTTTGTTGTTGTTGTCGTTTGTTTTTTGTAAAAAGATAGCTCGTAATGTTCCGAAACAGAAGGTTGTTTTTCTGTTGGCGAACTGAGTAATAGTTTAGAGTTCCCTCGCCCTTTCATCTCAGTTGTAAGGGCCGAAGGTCACGTGATTAAGGGTAGTGTGTGTGCAACCTGGTTTTGTGTAATATTATTGTATTTGTAGTATTAAATGCCAAGTTTTCCTTTTTTTAGCAGATTTTTCTTTATTAAAACTTTTAACACACTTAGAGATTTTGTTAGACTTTAACTTTTTGGTTTAGAACTTTTAATATAACATGATTTTCACTTTCTTTTCGCTTTAGTCTTTTCTTATTTTTGTTTATCTTTCACCTTTGGGTTTGTTTTCATTTTAGATTTTATAGTTTTATTTTACCTTACGGAGGGGGGACATGCCGGACTGGTGAGAAAGAGTTCACTGAGGTCTCACTTCCTTTCTCTCTCTTACTAGTCCAGCTCACTCTCCACAGGCCCATTTTTTCCCCGTTTTGTTTGGTCTTGTATTTTGTAATTGTGATTTTTCTGTGTTAATAAAGATTGTTGTGCACCTTTCAGGTCTTGGTTCTTTCTTAAGAAGAGATAGAAAGACACGCACTCTGTAACTCGGTAGCCTTGAAACATCCAGGTTAATGGGCCCCGAATTGACTACCTGGGAATGCTACGGTTGTCACGTTTAGTAGAATATACAATCACCTTAGTTTATATAAAAATAGATGCTAATCACTAATAAGTTTTATCCGTTTCAACTTGTAATTTGCTGCAATCCTCAGGGAAGTCCTGAGAAAAACTATTTCTGTGTTGGTAATGGCCGAATCTTCTTGATAGAAAGTCTGGTGTGTTATCCACTCGACTGAGTTCTCCCAGTTACTAATTAATAATTATACTCAGTAATCGCACAGAGTACTAACCATGACAACGATTAATATCCAATCGCCACTGCCGTACCGTAAGTACTTGAGAAATCATGCATTAAATACTCAAACTTATCTTTATTTCGTGAGTATACCAAGAATTCTGGATGTTTTCATAAGTAAAGACGTAACATCTGCATTACTATGAAATGTTATCTGTATTAATATTTCGTAATTATTGTTTGTTTGTTTTTAGACAAGATGGAGCGCAACGTTTCAATGACACCTGTTGAAACCCTTATCGAATGTAATTTATATCAAAACTGCAAACAATAAATACCCCCAAAGGCTCAACGATAAGCATGGAGCTTATAACACAAAAATTTGGAATTTTATCCCTGTGACGGGTACAGCGCAAATAGCCCATTATTAACAATGCCAACTACGTTAGAACATGCCTAAGGTGAATGTGACACCATTCTAATTGTTTTTGGTATATAGATTAATCAAAGGCCCGGCATGGCCAGGTGATTAGGGAGCTCGACTCGCAATCTGCGGGTCGCGGGTTCGAATCCCCGTCACACCGAACATGCTCGCCCTTGCAGCCGTGGGGGTGTTATAATGTGACGATCAATCCCACTATTCGTTGGTAAAAAGAGTAGCCCAAGAGTTGGCGGTGGGTGGTGATGACTAGCTGCCTTCCCTCTAGACTTACACTGCTAAATTAGGGACGGCTAGCGCAGATAGCCCTCGTGTAGCTTTGCGCGAAATTCAAAACAAAACAAACAAGATTAGTCAAATAAATATGCAATAGCCACATGAGTGAAAAAAACATAGCATGATCAAATTATTAAATTAAAGTAACTAAAATGGTTAATTATTTAATATTCAATGAATACTTAAATATACCAAGGAGTTTAAACACGTGTAATGGCAAAGTCACAATATACAATTTTAGAATACAGTAAGGAATGGTTTAAACAGCCACGTGTTACAAAGTCGACAAAACACCAGAAACATATATAAGAAGAAACGAGGGTCAACCTAGAATGGATAGAAGCTTCTTTAGATAAACATTCACATGGTCTGGTTTACTGTGGGAAGTATTAAAGTATACTAGACATCATGAAATACCAATTAATATGAAAGAATTGTGAGTTAAGCTACTTTACAATGATGAAAGAGTATCAGAATAAAATGTTAGGAATAAACAGTTCCTTGATCCAAGAGCGGTTAGCTAAAGCTGTGACACCAGAACATGTATAAAAATGTTCCTTGATCCAAGAGCAGTTAGCTAGAGCGAGCTGTGACACCAGAACACATGTATAACAAAGTTTCTTGATCCAAGGGTAGTTAGCTAGAGCTGTGACACCAGAACACGTGTATAAAAATGTTCCTTGATCCAAGAGCTGTGACACCAGAACACGTATATAACAAAGTTTCTTGATCCAAGAGCAGTTAGCTAGAGCTGTGACACCAGAACATGTATAAAAATTTTCCTTGATCCAAGAGCAGTTAGCTAGAGCTGTGATACCAGAACATGTATAAAAATGTTCCTTGATCCAAGGGCGGTTAGCTAGAGCTGTGATACCAGAACACATGTATAACAAAGTTTCTTGATCCAAGGGTAGTTAGCTAGAGCTGTAACACCAGAACATGTATATAAAAATCTTCCTTGATCCAAGGGCGGTTAGCTAGAGCTGTGACACCAGAACACATGTATAACAAAGTATCTTTATCCAAGGGTAGTTAGCTAGAGCTGTAACACCAGAACAGGTGTATAAAAATGTTCCTTGATCCAAGGGCGGTTAGCTAGAGCTGTGACACCAGAACACATGTATAACAAAGTTTCTTGATCCAAGGGTAGTTAGCTAGAGCTGTGGCACCAGAACACATGTATAACAAAGTTTCTTGATCCAAGGGTAGTTAGCTAGAGCTGTGACACCAGAACACATGTATAAAAATGTTCCTTGATCCAAGGGCGGTTAGCTAGAGCTGTGACACCAGAACACGTGTATAACAAAGTTCATTTTGGCTAATCAAGATATATGAGAAGCTTAAAAATAAAATCAGAACTAGTGGAACAATACTATGATTGGTCTACCTGCATAAACTCTAAATAGAATACTTAACCATACCAGGAAAGGAACCTCACACATTTGTTACATGTTAAATACAGTACAGTATATATAGTCCAGAAATCACTTAGTAGTCAGTAGGAGTAGAGAATCAACCCATAGTCTACAGCAATAGTCAGTCAGTTTCTTGCTGATTCGTGTATCTTCCAACAAAGGGTTGTTTGTCTAGATTTCAATTTCTAACATCGACTGAGTTCGCAGTGTTAACTCAGATAACTTGTCACAACTTCAAGTTGTCAAAGGAAGAGACAGGGGTACCAGCCCGGACTGCAGCCTCGCGTCTGTTTTGCGGGAATGTGTATGTATTTGGTCAACATGCGCTCAGGAACAAGTGGGAAAAGGGCCTTAGTACCAAACACTGTTTAGGGTAAGTTGTGTCCCGTTATTATCAACTTTATTATTATCCTATTCTTCAAAGTTTCTTTTCACCTTAACAACAGGAAGGTACTACAACAGGTAAAGGGTGTAATAAGGTAAACGTGGTGTTTTTAGATCTTGTTTTAGTCAAATTCGCCAGAAATATTTAAATTTTGATTCGATAATTAAATATCGTTGCGAAACCAAATTGAGTGTTTGTTATAAGTTTAAGAGAGTTTTGTTTCTAAAATGCATAGTTAATTGGCAAGAGAGGTGAATTTTTTACCTCTTCCCCATACCCTTATTTAGTATGTAATATACCCGTGCACAAACATCTGTAGCTAGTAATATTTTTTGGTACTTATGTGACTAACAACTACCACTTTCTGTACTTATGTGATTATTAGCTACCATTTTTGCCACAAAGACATGTAATCAGCAGTATTCAGCATCGCCAGCCTACATTGCAGTCTGCCTTTAACATCCGACCTTAGTAAGTTCAAGTAATTGTTAATTATTAAGGTAAAAGGCAGGTAAAAATTCGAATTCTAGAAGTTTATTTCATAAATGCTGTATACGAGGTAAAAGTTTTAACAGTACCCTTTAATTGAGGTGAAATGTATGTATTCTTTATTAACGTTATCGATCAAAACAAACTTAATTTCTGTTATTAGTTGATAGATATATGTATTGTTCAGCGTAACTACCATCGGTTATTTTTATTTTGATTACGTGTATATAACTCATTTGTAGTTAATAAAGTTCTTCTTTTGTTGTTCACGATTCTGTCTCCTTGATTCTCACGCAAATTTTCTTTGAGTTGGTTAGCTGTGTACTTGCACCTAGTTGGTACGTTCATAAATACTATTGTCATTGATTGTCCTAACCAGCAGTTAGCTTGCTGTATACTTGAACCTATGCTTGGTACGTTGATAAATATTATTATCAATGATTGTCCTAACCAACAGTTAGCTTGCTGTCTACTTGCACCTAGTTGGTACGTTGATAAATATTATTATCAATGATTGTCCTAACCAACAGTTAGCTTGCTGTCTACTTGCACCTAGTTGGTACGTTGATAAATATTATTATCAATGATTGTCCTAACCAGCAATTAGTTTGTTGTGTACTTGCATCTAGTTGGTACATTGATATGTATTATTTTCATTAATGTTCCCAACTAGCAGTCCGTTACTTGCAGCTTAAAACAAATATATATTCGATCATAGCTCATTTGCATCATTAGTTCAGTGTTGGAGGAAATATTGACGAGATGTTTATCCCTAATCCTAGCATAATTTTAGTTAATATTCCCTCATCCATTGTGTTCTTATAATAACGACAGGACATATACTGTTTTAACGTAACATGTTGTAAGAACAAAGTTTCATACTACACATTCTCGGTATCAACTAAAACATAAACATCTAACGAGTAAACTTGCCGATGAAGCTGGTTGTTTTTCTTGATAAAATGTTGATTTTATTACAACTTATGTTGTTAAGTGTTTTTAATCAAAGTTACCAATATTATAGTTGTCAGACGCTAAACCTAAGTTAAAGTTGCACCACAGAAAAAAGCATTTAGGTTATGAACAATCTTCGTGTGTTTGGTATAAAGTACAAAACCATGAACAGTACGACTTTCCATTTATTCTAAGAAAAAAGCAAAAATTCAATTTCAACTTACGTTTCTCGCAGTAAACGCCACAATATCCACATGGACAAACACAGCTAAAGGCTTTTAACAAATCCTTCACTTCGGGCCGGATATCCTGACAGGTAGCGTTGTTTTCACAGGTAACAGTTGCACAAGTCTTGATATCTTTCTACAAAAACAAAAATCATGTATTTTATGGTTATACTTACCCATAATAACTTTAAACAATACTGATAAGTTAACCTGGTAGATACCACAATTTACAATGGGCAACAAAAAATTTGCAAGTGAAGAAAATCCTAGTGATTCTGAGTAATTTGATAGTGTTGATTTCAAAAATGTAGTCATAGTTTGTCCATCGCCTCTAGATTTTGGATTCTTGTAATATCTCAATATTTTATCAGCACTATGTGAAATACCATGCAATCAGCTCCGTGCAATAGATTTATGCTGTGAAATTTGATTTACTTGAATAGTTTAATGAGTAAAAAGGCATACATTTTTGATAACTTCAAACAATGACAGTATTGTATTGGTGTAAAATTCCAAATATGTTGTTCATATATGTCATTTGATCGTGATATAACTGTAGCGAATTGTACCATTTTAGCTTCATTCCCACGCTTACTTCCTCCGCCCGCGAATCATGAAGCCCTCACATTCTCAGTTTGCTAGAACATTCCAGAAGTCCTTTGAATGGGCATAAAAAATGGAGCAGACACCTCTCTTTCAGTTGCTCCTCACTCACTCATTTGACCACTTCGCCTCGTTCCATACACAGTCAAAATAAGTCTCCCTTGCATCGTACCCGAGATGTAATCATATTTTGGCAAAATTTTAAACTCTAGTTCTATAAACATAAATTATTTTATATCTTTTAGAAAATCGTTTGAAATGCAGACTGCCTCTAGTTCATGTAAAGTCTGAAAGTGCAAAAATCACCCAAACAGTTTCTGCTACAGTTGTGGAAAATATATTACAGTTTCACGAAGGAAAGGCATCACACATAAGGTAGAGGTAGCTAAATATTACTATTTTGAGTGTAATAATTGATTATCAAGAAAAACATTGGGCTCTACATGTGTGTTGTACAGTTTGCACATCTGACTTGACACAGTGGCTGAACAAGAAGTATGCCATTTGCAGTTCCCATGATATGACGTGAGCCCAAAGATCATCTAACTGACTGTTATTTTTGCATGACTAATGTTTCTAGATCTTCAGACAAACTAAATAATACATTAAATATCCAGATATTGTTTCTGCAATGAAGCCAGTACCTCATGGGGATGGTCTTCCAGTGCCAGATCCACCAGCGAATCGGAAAACAGAAGTTATCATGCAAAGAAGACAATGAATCATCTTCATCCTCTGCATCTAGTAATTCTATTCCTGTAGAAAACTTTCTCATCTGATCACACAAGAAGAGCAAAATGGTCTGATTCATGACTTGTTTCTATCAAAAACAGCATGGGGAACTTTTGGCTCTCGTTTACAGCAATGAAATTTATTAGCTCCAGGAAAAAAAAAAAAGTTTACAGTTTACCGAAGTCGCCATCATAGTCTCTCTTCTCACTATAGCATGTAAGATACTTTGTGTTTCTATACAAATGTTGATGCACTAATGGATGGATTAGGTACTGAACATCATCCTCACGATGTATAAGAATATTTTGAATAAATCTACCACAACTCGAAAACTAAAGACGATTAGTAATTTTCACCATGATTTTTAGAATCATCATTGTCAAATTACTCAGAAACAGTTGCAGAGAAATTTGTTTTTGTTGCCAGACGTTACTAACCAGAGCTCTGAGCAAATCTAATTACAATTGAAATTAAAATGAAACGTCAAACATACTTACTCTTGACTAAAATGCTACAATTAATGTAGTATTTACGGTTCTGTTTGAGTGAATAAAATCGTTTAGCGATCAGTCAGTCACATCATGTAACGTTGAAAGAAATTATCAAGTTACAGCTAAATCGCGAAGTTAACATTGAAACGAAGTCAAAATTCTCGTGTTTACTGAATCTCTTAATCACGGATTGTTGAAGTTGACTGAATTCGTTGTTCTTGTCATGAATGCTTATTAAGTAAGTCACTCAAGAGATTAATAGAAGCGACAACGCGTGTGAGAATACGACTTACTAACATCTACCTACAAATTACTGTTTTTCAAGGGCGTCTCAACACTGATATGTAAATGTAACGAGCAGTATCCCCAGAAGAGCTTGTGAAACGGAATGACAAGTCTAAAAACGTAATTCTTAATGTTTAAAATACGTTATTTCTATGAATACATAAAACTTAACTGCATAGCATTCTTGAACAGAAATAAAGTTCACAGAATAAATTCAGGCAATTTAATTACATTTTATCTCCCTTTCTTACTAAAAATGGTCATCATAACTATACATCTTTAGTGCACTTTCATAATGTACAATATGTCATATCACACTTTTGTTATATTTATACCTAGTGCTAAGTTTCTAGGACTGGAGAGTACCGGTTCCCTTTTGGCTAGTCGCTAGTGGAATGGGAAGATAAAGAATTTTTGACGGTAATAATTTAGATATTAGTTGTGTAGAAAAGAACATTGTGCTGACAGAACCGTAAATTAAAAACCAGCAATTTGTAAGCACAATGATATTATTGTGCTTATAAATAGCTGTTTGTTAATTTACGACAATTTAAACATTACTTGTGTAGAAAAGAACATTGTGCTAACAGAACAGTGAATTAAAAAACAGTTATTTGTAAGCACAATGATGGCACTGTGCTTACAAATCGCATTTTATTAATTCAAAACAATTTAAACGTTACTCAGGTCATTGTTTGAGATGATACTGAAGGGAAGTAACGTAGTTGATTAGGTCAGTCGAACAACATTTAGGTATTGTTGAACAGGAAATGTGAATTCTTGGTAGTAAGGTCCAGCATGGTCTTAATTTGATTTTCAGAAAAGCCATTTAGAGGAATGTTATTTCGTGAAAGCTCAGATATACATATGTTAATAGTTTCATTTAGAGGAATGGCTTCCCACTGGGTCCAACTTTAGCTAAACATTCAGGTAGTTTTAAAACTAACTATAGCGTTTTCGCCTTAATATTTTTAAAATAAATTACAAAACAAGTTCTGGATCTCAGTACCGTTAAAAATTAAGCATCGTAAATGCTGTGGTACTTGGTTAGATTGATCTAATGAACTAATAAAGTTCTTCGAGCTTTATATAAGTTACACATGTAACATACTCATGATTGGAAGAAGGATAAAATCGAAAATATATATTTTGTAATTGGTATGATAATCGAAGGTTATTTTTTTAAGCAGTTTTATTCTGATCAGATATTTGTTTTAGGGAAATACTGCAAGTTTAATACCATCACTTTCGTTTTGAAATATTTACAACCCTAACCCAAAGATGTAATTTTAATATTGTTATCCATACTTCAGGTTTTATTAGAATGCTAAATAACAGAATCCCAGAACAACGGTCTTGTGTCGCAAGAAACAATATATGTATATCGTATCGAATTCTTGAAATCTTTAACACACACACACACACACTGGACTATTACTATCACTATTCACTGTACCAAAACAAAAATCATACAACTCGCCTTACCTCAGCCACAAGTAGCTTGGCTCCTGGGTGTTCAATAAAGTCTCCCCCTAAATTGCTCAGGATCTTACATTCAAGACTTTCCTTGCGGGGAACAATATTAACAGCGACACATTGCTTTGTGCTGCCACAAACAGCAACGCATGCAACATCGCTGACCACCGTATTGGTCCAAGCAGAGTTCTGAGTTTTATTCCATATGACAACTCGGAAGGTCTCACTTGAAAAACTCTGTGATTTCAAACTGATGGAAAGCATCAAGTTTGAAAAGTTGCAGACGAATAAGAGAGCAACATGAAGATGCTGAATCATGCCCGTAACAGTGCTTTGACTCAAAGAGCCCTGCTCTCAAGAGTAGCCATCGTTGAAAGTGGCCCAATGTTACAGAAGCAATGAAAATAAACTTGGCTAGTTAATTCCAAAATGAAAACGTATTTCGTGCCGGATTAAAACCTTGCATGTAAACCAGTACTACAGTATATCTAGATTTCTTGTCGGATATAGTCGGGTCGATTTCTAGTGGTTCTGATTAAATTTAAATACTTCCCCCAACACACCACTAGATATAACTTCAGATACGGTAAATCCCACTAAATTTAAAACATTTAGCTTCTGTAACCGCAGTGAGAGCATTCAATCTGTGCACGTGCCCACTCGGTCTGAACAAAACGTGATTAGTACACTCAAAACCGCAGGAAATTGTCGATCTCGCTCTCCAAACCTCATTAACATTACTAGCCATAGATGCAACACTAAAATTAATTAACCTGAGTGAAATATAGATATTTTTGTTACTCGGGGTTCAGTCTCCTAAATGCAGTAGTAGTGATCAGCTGAAAACTCGGTTTGCTTGAGATATCATAAATTGCCTACATTACACATTTCCGACACAAGTCTGTAGAGAACGACAGCCGGATATTCGTCTGATCTTTTTATGATTGTTGTGGAGATGAGCATGCACAGAAGTCTAGAATCAGTAATCAACTTTTAAATTCTTCCTTTTTAATATACTTCGTCTAAAATTCCGCAAAATAAATCTAATGTTGGAATTTTTACCATTTCAACAACTCCCAGTTTTCAGTTGTTAGGTGTATTAAAAACTTCCTTTATGTCATTATAATGTTACAGTTTTTTGTGTTTTATATATACCAGCGAAACATGTAACGTAAATTAACTTTTCAGAATATAAAAAATGGCAGTTGCGTGAATTCATCGTGTACGATCTCTACTTAAATTGGTAAGTGCGTTTATCTTCCCTTAGATGTCGGCCTTTTTCGCATGATGCAGCTTTTAATAGGTTTATTACTTCTATAAAGCAAAGGTTTGTTTAAAGTTCCTGACCGCAGTAACAATAAAAAGCATTAATTAAAAGTATAAATATCTATAAGAAGTTCCGATAAACTATGTATGTGAAGAGTTGCTTTCGTCAATAAATATGATTTTTTACAGTTTTCGTGTTATATATATATATCATTCCGAACATTTATTTTAAAAATGCTGCATTTGAAATGAGATTCATCATATTTAGAGTTATTATCTAAACAACAAATATTATTTAATATAAAATAGCGTTAATAAAACTATCGTAACAGAATAATTACATTGTTTCTCTGTAAATCGGAAACCTAAAATCGAACATTTTGTTTTGTTTTACAAGTTATGAACGTTTAAAAGGGTGTGAACTAGCACTATTCTTGAGGAAAAAAAATCTACAAAACATTGACGCTTCGCTGGGTTAGTTTTAAGTTATTAAAACACAAACAGTATCCAAGTAAATAATTTCTGTTCTGTTGAGCTTTACCATATAGATTTAATGTAAAAAAAAGTATAAACAAATAATATGCTTGTTAAATTTCTAAAAAAACACACCCAAATTACTTTAAAATGCATAACATAAAACAATTCGTGGTGCTCTACATTATTGACAATAAGCTACAGGTATTGAGTATTTATTTCCAGGCCTATAAGTATAAATACAATGGTTAAGACTAGTGTAGGAATTAAGTGTTCACAGTTTGTTACGTGTAATAGGTGCAATGAGTTGGTTTTATTTCGGAAGCTAGTAGTGAATATGTGCAATTTGTATGTATAATTTGTAGGTTGGAGGAGAAGTTGGAAGCTATCCTAATTAAAATAGAGACGGTGGATAAAGAGAAGCCTAGACTGTGTGAAATGGGAGCAGGATTTCAAAAGGAGCTTAATCTTTTACATGTAAGGAATATTTTATTGGATAGTTAACATAGTTTCACTAAGTAGAAAATCTTGCCTTACAAATATTTTGACATTTTTGAAAAGGTAACTGCTTATGTAGACGAGGGTACGAGTG